AACCTCGTTTGGAAGCAAAAAAAATAAATTGAAGTGCATTGTGGTGTCTGACTGCACACAACATATTTTCGCATTTCAAGGCCAGGTCACGACCCTGTCCTTTCTGCTTCTGGCAACGAACGGTTGAGCAGTGTGACCCGCAGGTGCCATATAAACGCAAATTCACATACGTAAAATTTGCAGAAGTACGATCTGGTGTGAGTATGCCCTGAGACGTAACCTGCATCAACGCACACTCTACTTCTGGAGAGAAAGCAACAGACGACCACTCATTCACATCCGACCCCCCTGGAGAGAAAGTAACAGACGACCACTCATTCACATCCGACCCCCCTGACCCTACTGCGGGTCCCCAGGTCTAAAACGCTCCCCCCAGGCCGTATCAGCCACATCGTGACCAGGTTGCTTCCCTTCCCGCGAAGCTGGTTGAAGCATTTCCAGTTTTCGACAGTACCTTCCCCCCCGGGCCGTAGTCTGTTACCGTTACTCCGTTCCCTCGCCCCTCCCCGTGAGGCTGTGACCTGACGTCCGTGCCTCGTTGATAGGTTGCATGCGAAGCCGCAGTCTATCCCTGCCAGTAGAAATAATGCACAGCCTGACGCAGAGAAGCCTTGGCTATTTTATACTGGAATGCTTTTGTATCGGCGAAGAACTTATCTCTGCCACTTGTCATGCCCAGTTTCCCGCAGCAGGGAGCTGAGGCGTAATCTTTCTACGTCACCGTGACCAGCCGCATTACAGTCGGACCATGATCAACGGCCCGGCGGGGAAGGACGTTCATTCCTCAACAAACTGCGACCGGCAAGAACAAGGACTCCTCATTAATCAGCTCGTGTCAACAATCTTTTTTTTTTTTTTTTGACAAACAGGTTACTTCCACTCCCTGGTGCGTGGCAATCAAGGCTCATTGGCCAGTTTTGCAAAAACGGCTCAGGGCGAAACAGCTCCTCAGCTCGTTTATCACTACCATGTGAGCACCACTTATAGCGGGACGTCTCGGGATTGTGCATGCTGATGTGATTTGATGTGGTGACTTGTCCCCCATTCCCGCCAGCTCATACGTAATAAAGCCCCGCTGCATACGGTGGGTTTTCCCCGTTCCTTCTCATTTTAGTAGACTTCTTTTTTTCTTTTTTTCCCCGTCCCTGTACTAGTGTGATGACGCCTAGCTGTTTGATGAAGACGATACGTTTTGGCGAGAGAAGGAAATTCAATGTCCGTGCGGCATTCTGTGACATCAGAAGTCGACACGTGCGCTTCCTCTCGGTGCGCGTATTCCTCTTCTCCTTTTTCCGGATCTTAGCTGCCATGCTCCGCAGCTACAGTCCGTTCGAGGGACTGTCCCGCAGATTCTCGTCGTTGGCTGTGATTTCGAATTCCGATGCGCACGGGGTTGGGCGCCTTCTGCAGGCGCCCACTTCGGCAGCCCCGCCATCTCTTCCGGAGTTTCCACGGTACGGAGAACACGAACTCTTGATCAAGAACTCGGCACGAGTCGTTGCTTCACATCCATCCCCGACACAGGATTGTCAGTCTGTAATTGACAACCTGGTGGTTTCGCCTGAGAGAGAGCTGTACTATGTCCTCGAGCAGACCTGCTCAAACAGCAGCTCAAACAGCAGCTCAAACAGCAGCTCAAACAGCAGCGTTACGTCGATCAGAAAAGCCAACTTGTCGAGGGCGCCCCTGGGATCTGACTCGCCAGATGACGAATCAACATTATTAACCTACTTGTGGTCTTACGACGAGCGGAACGGTTCAAGAATCGCAGAGCGGCCGAATTCGACGGCTTCCGTGAGGGGGATGGGCCTTTCGAAAGATGGTTCCCATCTCATCTCGAGCGTAGACTACCCTTCCTCCGACGTTTCTGGCAATGTGTTATTCCGCAATGGCAGCATCACGTCCGTGTCTGTTTCTGACTCCTCCCGTCTTTCTTCCTCCAGGTTTTCTTTTGAGTTTACTAATGCCACCTATAGTTCTTCCTACGCGTTTTCCTTTCAGTGTATTAACAAAATCTGTTTGGACCCTTCCGGAGAGCGTCTGGTTTATAATAGGCTGTATTACGCTGGACTCGAATATGTTCGGGTCGATAGCTCGGGACTTCCGTATGATGTAACATTAGAATTGATCAGCCGCTCGAAATCATTAGACAGCGATTTGGAATCTGCGCCCAGATACATAAATGGAAGTTACATTGGTGAGGCCATATTCCAATCTCAAAGCTTTGTGAACAATTGCCTTTATTTTTTGCAGACAAATGGGATGCTGTCCGGGTTTCACCCGTTCATCGAGGGGAGCCGACCCATAGCGGTATCCGACCTTCCGTACCCACCAAATCGTAGGGATGATGTTGTCGTCACTCCAGATGGGTGTCACACAATGCTATCAGCTAGTAGATCAATTCTTTAGAGAGATGAAGTACCCATCGGGTACATTTGCGGGACTGGCATTGATGGAGAATGAAGTGGGGGAGGACGCATACTTGTACTTGGGCTCTGAGGACGGGAAACTTTTTGAAGTGCAGTTGAACAGGTCTGGCAGAGGCTGTGTATTAGAAGCGGAACCAAGCATTCCGCCCGCAGCTGAGTATGCCGTAGAACCAAAACCAAGCAATCCTCCCGCACCTGAATATGCCGTAGAACCAACACCAAGCAATTCTCCCGCACCTGAAGATACCGTAGAATCAAAACCAAGCAATCCCCCCGCAGCTGACCCTGCCGTAGAATCAAAACCAAGCAATCCCACTGTTCCCGCTGCATCTGGAGCTGTAATCACTGTTGTGGTAACAGCTGTGGTGGCTGGCACAGTGGTCGCCATCGTAATCATTGCCAGCTTTATGTGCCTACGGCGGAGAGCGCGCCGCCGACCAGCTGGTCCGGAACGTGCCCTGGAAGTCGGTGAGCACGCGACTTCATCTGTAATGGAAGATGAAGCATTGGACGCGTGGGGAACTAAGCCGTCGCGGGTCACGCAGTTCGCTTTCAGAGTCCTGTCGGAATGTACGGAGCGCATGAGCATCGCTTCCAGGTTGCGAAGGGGCTCGGCTACCTTCACGACTTCGCCAGGCCCCCCATTATCCATCGGGACTTAAAGAGCAGCAACATTCTGCTCGGCGAGGGATCTGGCGAGAAGCTTCACGTCGTGGTTGCGGATTTCGGATTAGCAGCCATCGGCGAGAGGGTATTAGACACAGGACATAACCACGTCGTGCTGACCTCTCACATCGGCGGCACATTCGGGTATATGTCGCCCGAGTACATGCTGAGAGGAGAGCTGTCCGAAAAGAACGATGTGTACTCTTTTGGGGTACTCGTTCTGGAGCTGTTGACGGGCAGGAAGGTGGTCGGGCCGGCTCCTTCCGGGCTGGGATGGCAGACGCTCGTCGAGTGGGTGAAGCCTTTCCTTCTAGGGGCAGTCGTCGAGAGCGGGAGCATGGAGATGCCGTACCCGATACTCGATCGGTGCTTGTGGGATCAGGTGGCTGGAGATTCGATCAAGAAGAATATGGTGATGAACACATTCCAACTGGCTTGGGAATGCGTGGAAGAGGAGTATGGGTCCAGACCAGCCATGAGAGAAATCATTCAGCACATTCACAGTATCTTCCTGGGAGTGGGTTGGGATGGCCTGACGGTGATGATGGTGGACCTAGAAAACGATGTGGATAATGATGCTGTAACCGCTACAGGAGGTCTCAGGGTATGATGAAGGTATGTTGAAAGCGGATATACGCAGGTTTCCTGACCAGGCCTGCGGCTGAGGACTGCCGTTCTCTCTCTCTCTCTCTCTCTCTCTCTCTCTCTCTCTCTCTCTCTCTCTCTCTCTCTCTCTCTCTCTCTCTCTCTCTCTCACACACACACACACACACACACTCACACACACACACACACACACACACACACACACACGCTCGTACAGGCACACACACATGCACACGCGCGCGCACGCAAAGATGGTGCGTGCATGTTCGTGCGTCCGTCTCTGTCGTCTCCACATTTTCTGTGTTTGTGAGGGGGCCTGAGGATGTCTTTCGGAAAGTTATTAGCGCAAGGCTTTGCCTCGGCCGTACCGAGTTTTCGAATGGACGCTTGCAATCATGCAACGTGTCCCGAATGGTTTGGCTTATGCTATCCTTGTTCCCGCTCTGCAATAAAGTGTTTTTTAGATATTGCCACTTGATTGCGGCATCAGTAATTAAGATTAATATGCAGTACAATATCTCCGGGATAATCGGTAGAAGGCGCCCACGCCAAAACCTTTTCGGTTTTGGCCGCCCAAAGTTCAGCCGTTTGGTACTACCGGCCCAATGACTTGCATTTGGGGTACTACAGGCCCACGCGTCACTCCAAGGGCCCTACCGGATCATGAACCTGGAGCATAACAGGGCCAGATTCATTTTGATGTAAAGGAGGCAGGCAATGGTAACGCTGAAGTATTGAATGAGGCCCACGTACGCCATTTTGAAAAAGAAGGGCCCTACCGGTTCATGAATCTGGCGCAGTAACAGCGCCGAATTCTTGAACCGGTAAAAACAGGCCCAGGACGATGTGGCCACGTCATGAAGGCGCCTTTCACCCAGGGGAACGTTGTTTGGGCCGGTAGTACCAAACAGCCGAACTTTGGGCGCCCAAAACCGAAAAGGTTTTGGCGTGGGCTCTTTCTACCAGTTATCCCAATATCTTCTTTTAACATTCCAACACATAAGTCCTGAGCTTTCTCAAAATAGAAGAATATTAAAAAAGAGTGGAAGCCAGGCCTGGCATCGAAGGGAACGATGGCCTATTCTGAGAGAGAGAGAGAGAGAGAGAGAGAGAGAGAGAGAGAGAGAGAGAGAGAGAGAGGGCGTCATCATCTAATTAGTAGAGCACATGAATTAATAAACGAGATTGGCCACTGTCAAAGGAAAGGAAAAAAAGAAGAAATGATGACGTAGCCAAATGGCTCGTGATGTCCTTCGGGACATCCGTTAAAATTGGAGCGATACAGAGAAGATTAGCATGGCCCCTGCGCAAGGATGACACGCATAAATCGAGAAATGGTCCAAATGGCTCGTGATTTAATTTAATTATTCATGGCCATTAACGGATTGACGAAATTCCCACTGTTTTCTTTTTCGTGGGAATGTGCAATGTACCCCGAAAAGAGAAGATAGATGTGAAAATGCCTCTTAAAGATTTGGGTAGTGCGGAATGTCCTTTTGGCTGGAATTCCTTGTGATGATGCCCTTGTCAGGTCAGTTGTCAAATTTGCAATCTGAACCTTTTGGACCGCTGAGGCCATGTAACCTTTTGTCTCTCTCTCTCTCTCTCTCTCTCTCTCTCTCTCTCTCTCTCTCTCTCTCTCTCTCT